ATCCTCGCCTGTGCAATATGAGAACACCGCGACTCAAACCCGGGACCTTCCGGTCACATGCGGTAAGATTCTGCCGCTTGCACCAGGCCCGCCCTTCTAAATCTTACTAAATGTCATATATTTAATGACAAAAGGAGTATCAATCATGTCCTGTCGTCTGCAAAATACAAAAGAAGACATGTACTATTTGAAAGCATAATTGTCTGGGAAAACTTTAAAAGTAATAGTTCATAGTTTGTTTAGACTTCAGTGTAGAAAAAAACAAAGCTTGGGTCATGTCATGTCAAAGTCGTAAAGCCATCCAATGAACAAAATAATTATATATCTGAAGTAGAAATCCCATCACCCATGATTAAACTCCTATAGTTGTTGCATCCAGTAAAAAAAAAATCATCCAGTAAAATCCCTGTGTTCTCGATATTCAGTATATTCGCTTGTTGGTTTCAGCCAGGGCTTATCAGTCAACCAACAGTGTTTTTCTGTCACAACAAACCAACACCAACCACCAGAAACCAACCAGCGAACAGGCCGATTGACTACCAATGGCTAATAGAAAATAGTGGCAAAAATGCATTATAGATTATGTCAGTCCAAAACACCAATATTTTTACTAGAGGAAGTATTCTTTCAGGGGCCAGCTGGATCATAAACACATTTCACTTCTGCAAATTTATCTTTTGGAACCTAGACTTAGTACTAGTACAGTACAATTTTTAATTTTAGTGAAAAGGTAAATATTATTCAAGATAATAAATGAAATTTTAGTTTGCTCAATTTTCTCTTTTGCAAACCGTTGCAAGGCATACTAGACATTTATGTTATTAGTTTAATGACTGCCAACTGCATATAATTTAAATTGCATGACGTGCGCTGAAGTAATTTTTTAAAGAAAAGATGTAGGCTAGCAGTTAATATCACTGGAAGATTGTGGGGACGATACCTTGTTCAAATCACAAGTTGGACAACACAACTACTATGACCCATATACTTTCTCTAACAACAAGGGAAAACAAAATAGCAAGACCATGTTCTTACTTAGGTCCCGTTTGGCTAGGTGGATCAAACACATTAACCGCGAACCAATTCATCCGCGAAACATTCTACAGTCCCTTGTTTTTTTTGCCTGGACAAGAGAAACGCCTTCAACCTGGTTTCGCCATATTCTGTTTCTACTTTCTCCTGTACACCAGCGACAATAATTTTTCTACTTATCCTTTTAACAAATTAAAATATGTTGCATTTGGATTATTCTTCATCCACAAAAAGCTCAAGAGTTTTTGAAGCATATTTTTATTTATATATATATTTAAATATATTTTTAGAACTAGAATCCAGCCTACCAGCTAAACGGTTTCATAAAAGTGATTCGGATTCATCTCTTGAAACGTTTCTTGACAAAATTTGGATCTGAAACGTTTCTACAAGAATCTGGATCCCTATCAAACGAGCCCTTAGTCAGACATATCTACACTTTTCCTTGTGATGCCATTCACTTCGCTATACTATATATAATGCACACTAGTAAATTGAAGAAGAAATAGGAGGTAGTTCCAAGCTGCCATTAGGTCAGGGTTCCTGAGCTCACATGTCTTTAGGAGTGGGGCCACCACCTACCCCCCCCTCATGCCTTCGGTTGGAGCCACCTAATTTGGCATCAACTTATGCCAGCCCCAACAAACTACCCTCGCAGAGGGCACAAGATATGCATGCATTCCCAAGAAGAGGGGGGAAAGGGAACTGAAACCATGAGTTGCTGTGGGCTTGGTGAAAGGCCACAAGTGAGCGAAAGATGATGGTGATGATGATCACTCGCTACTCCGGATTTTTCTTGATGGATTAATGAGCTCCTTTATTTTCTTTAAGTACACATCACATGGTGAAATTAGTGGGTCTTGGTGCACTCAGGATGTACTAAGTGCGCTTTATGCGTCTCAAGCATTGTCCTTTGTCATCTCTTTTACTTCCCTAGAATTGGATGTTGTGCTGCAAGCAGAGAGCAGAATATGACATGTGTATGGTATACTAAAAACACCATAGATTCTGGTTATAGAAACCTAGGGGTTGCTATATTCTCTGTTCCTAGGACCTAGGCCCTATCTAGCTCGACGACATGGACAATTGGGGCAGCCTAAACAGAGGACACTCATGAAGCTAGTTAAGAACCCTAAGTACTGTAGAATAGACTACATCTTAGATGGTGGTGGTGGGTTTTTTTTTATCTTACAAATATTATTACTTACATGATTATGTCCATACAGGTTGAAACAGGGTGAAAAACAACACATATGAATGCATATTTCCGAAATTCCAATCTTCTTACCCAACCAATGTCATTGCATATTTCTGAAATTCCACTCTTCTTACACCTTCCTACCTACCAATAGCATCGTCTCCAGAAATTAATTTGACTAGGATAGTATTACCAAACCACACCTCAGCCCTCTTTGGATTATAGGGTAAATAAAAAAAACAGAGTTCTCATTCTGAATGAGTTACCTTCCTACTCTCTTTGGATTGTAGGGTAAATAAAAGAAAAACATAGAGTTCTCATTCTGATTGAGTTACACCTTCCTACCAATAGCATTGTCTACAGAAATTAACTTGACTAGGATAGTATTACCAAACCGCATCTCAGCCCCCTTTGGATTATAGGGTAAATAAAAGAAAAACAAAGTTCTCATTCTATCGATTGAGTTACTATAGCACCCTTTGGTTCGCAAGAATCGTTTGCATGAAAAAAAATAGGAAACTTTCCTTTGCGTTTGATTCCAGAGAAAAAACACAGAAAAAAGCATCCATTAAAACCTCGTTTTTTGTTTTGGTAAAAAATGCAACTCATCCAAACAGCTATTCCTACAAAATTCCTGTATCTTTCATTCTTCTATTTTGCATATGCATTCCTACCCTATTAATGTATTTGGGCCTTAATAATGAGTAACAATTTAAGATTTTCTTTTACAATAAAACATTATACATGTGCAGAGAACAGTAGCAATTGAGATACTCCTAAAGCTGTCCATACGACAACAATCTAACAATTTAAACTTTTAACTTAGTTTTACATGGATCAGGAGTGGGCAGAGATGCTTACATCAATTTTACATTGTTCCTAGTTGGCACAAGAAGCCATCCAGAATCTTTGTTCAGAGTACAGCTTCTGGACTGATGCTGAGCCCAGTATCGAAAGTACTGTAGCACACATTCAGCAGACAGCTCCATGCAATGCTTATTATTACAAAAGAAGCCTTTGTGCCAGGGCATGTTGATACAATAACCACCTGAGGCTGAGCTTCAGACCGAATTTACAGATTTATCTTCCAGGATGGATGAGGCAACATCAACTGTAGAGGGTGCCATGCTTTACCAGCAATAGGCTCCTTGTCATCCATATGTACATTGATCATGGCAGAGTCATCAAACTCTGCACTGCGTTTTCTTGTAGGAGCCTGGCCAAAGGGGCATCATGATATCAAATACGATTCTTCTTGTGCAGATAACAAATGTCAACTACATATAGGTAATAACTAACTACAGAATCAGTCAACATCTGGTCTATATAAAGTTTCCTTTTCTTGTGGCCAGTTAATTTACATGACATTTTATAAGGAATAATTGTGCCTTCAAGCTATATGAATCAAGTGAGAGAACTGTAAGAGAATTTTACAAAGCCCATCTCAGGCATCAATAATAATAAGATTCTGTTGGTGCTAGACCTCAACCTCACCAGCAAGTATAACTACACCTTTGCAATCCATGGCCTTGTCCACCAGAATCTCATTGTTTGCATAGTTACGATTTTCCTAGTGTGACAAGATGTTTGTCCCCACATATCCAAGCATGTAGGAGCAGCCATTCTTGCTCCAGCCATGTTGCATGATGAGATGTGCAGAATCATACATTAAAAGGGAACAGTTCCATATCTAACCTGTAAATTTCATTTATTTGGATTTTAGCCTGCAAGACATAAACTATGTTACTACATGTGAGGCCTATTCCTGTAGGCCAGTAGTTTAATTATCAGGTCAAAAAATGTCACAGGAACCTGTGGTGCAGGCAGCAATAACCACCATACATGGCAGCAGTTAGTGCATTGCAGGTATGATCAGTAAGGCTGTGACATGGAGGGACAGGGGTACTGCATGAATTAAGGAGTCCTTTATCAACAAAATATACATTAACAAAATCTCACTATCTGTAAGCACAAACAAATTGTTGCCAATTCCAGAACTGAAAATCCAGTTACCAAAATTTGGTGGGCCTCCAGCTCATTTTTGTTCTGGTGGGCATTTTGCAGAGGCACAAACATCATTATTAGTTTAAAAAAGAATCAATCTATTAGTCAAAGACAAGCATTTCAGCCAATGAAATAACAACTTTCTTTTTTGTGATCCATATATGATTCCGATTTGATTATTGCAATTTCCTTCTGTACTAATCAGCAACCATACATCTGTTTAATATTTAAAGCACAATCCAGGAAGAAGCACATGGAAAGAGAAATGTGCTTTGGGAAAATTACTTTTTGGCATATCTGACATGACAATTCACAGAATTAACAGACACGTCAATGTCTGTATCCAATAATATCTCAATGAGGAAGTGTATGATACAGAAGGGAATAAGGAAATCTCATGGGGAATGGATATAAGCAGAATACGAAAAGGTTGGCCAATTTTGAACTTTGAATTAAGATTGCACCTTCTCTAAACTGCATTAGCAAATATATGGAAGCCCCAAATAGGTCATTTTTCCTTACAAGCATTAAATGGCAGCGCAACCATAGGCAACAAATGCAAATGGGAGTAATCAGGTGCAGATTATAACAGAATCACCTATAAAACTCGACACTAAAAAAAGTATTACTTAAAGCAAGCAGCAAAAAACAAACATGAAGAAATTTCAGTGGAGGTAGTTAATGCATTAAGACAGCATGTTGGTTACTATCAAGTTCCTAATAAAAGTAAAAATCACCATACCCCTTGCAACGTAGCATAAACGAATCAGCTTTCTTCATCATCAGTTTGAGTTGCACCTTTCCTCGATTTCCTCTTTGAATGTGGAGATTTCCCTTGAACAGGATAAAAAAAGCAGATAAGCAAATAATATACTATAATGTTGAAGTTAAGCAAAGGAAATTACTACATACTACCCATCACATAGGATTTTGCAGGTGCACACATGGAGGAGGAAACAAAAGATTGTTCATCCTCTGGATATATCATTACATTCATGAAAACATATACAACTAAATCAATATAACTAATAGTGTTAACGTATGGAACAGAAAACATCATATCAGTATCTACCTTGAGAGATGAAACTGAAACATACAGAAGATAGCTGCGACACATATGACACAACCACGATAACAGTTTGTTCTAACTTCTAAGACATCAAAAAACCAACTACGATAGATTAGCTTATACAGCACATGTATGCATCCTCTTATAAGTTCTTTCTTTTTGTTCTTTTTTTAACTCATAACAGGTTTATATTCCATTTACTTGAGGATGATGGAGAGGTGCAAACAGCATCAATTGTAACATTTTTAAAGAGTGCTGTCCCAAGAACTATTTATTCCAAACTAAGCTCTAAAGGTAGCAGCAACAAAATTCAGTTGGTTTTAGGCATGCCTATATATCGAATCACACTGAAGGGCAGGCCTGGTGCAAGCGGTAGAGTCTTACCGCCTGTGACCGGAAGGTCCCGGGTTCGAGTCGCGGTCTCCTCGCATTGCACAGGCGAGGGTAAGGCTTGCCACTGACACCCTTCCCCAGACCCTGCACAGAGCGGGAGCTCTGTGCACTGGGTACACCCTTTTTTATATATCGAATCACACTGTCAACCACCAAAACAGGTGATTAAGTAAACAGATTAGTGCTACATGGCTTGGCTTTGCAATTTTGAATAAATGGTCCAGGACATTCAAGAATCAACTGCTTGCCAACCAAAGCACCATGGAGACTTGGCATCCTAATCATTGGAAGTCTTGGACAGCCCTTGTGCAGCAGATAGCCAAGTCATGAGTGAAAGCCACCGGATAAACCTTTGCAGTGCGTTTAATACTTGGACAATAGTCACCAGCAGAAATGCCAAGACAACTAGCTTTGGGAGCATCATCGCTTAAATGGACCAAAGCTAAATAATATTACCGCAAAAATTTTCAATGCATCCATATACAAGAATCAGACCTCAACTTTTACCCTAGTGATGAGCACATGACATGACCTGAATTTTATCCTCTTTGAAGGATTAGTTGTCTTATCATCTAAAATTTACAAATCTACATCCAGGAGAACAGTAAAAGATCTTTCTTCTCGAAACAACTGGGTTATGAGCCAAAAACTAACATTACATGTGTAACACAAGAAACAAACATAGAGAATTGCATAGTAATGTAAATTCCATCTGTGCTTTCCCTAATCCACTCAAGAGACTGTCCTCCGGACAACAAATCTAACTATCCTTTTAATGGCGCATGCTGGATACTCATTGTCTTCGAGTTGATTGGGGCCATATCTTTTGGAAGTCAACAGAAAGTGACGGAGAACAAGAAAAAGAGGCACTAAGCAGGTAGCAGTGGCTCCGTCCCAGTGTCTCCCACCCACCCCCAGCTCTGCAGTGCTGCTGTGCAAGGCGAGTGGCGCATCCAACCAAAAGATGGTAGGCTTTGTTGATGGTCGGGTCCTGCTGGTGCTGCCTTTCTTGAGCACAGGTGTGGCTAGCCGCAGGTGCTGGAGCCAAAACTGAAGACCATCGCCCTGGCCATCAGGCGACAAGGCCGACGATGGTCACTTCGTTCACCATGGCCACACATCGAAAACAGTGTCAGGTAAACATTCTCATCCCCTAGAAGCACACACTGAGATCGCCATGGCTACCTGGGATGTGGGAACCACTCCAGCAGGCAATGAATACAGCAAAGGGGATCAGTTTGAAAGCGCTGCACTTCCTTTCTCATTTCCCAGATCAAACCCACCTCTCCCACTGGGATTGAATCGGCAGGATACCCATTTCCCTATCCCAGAGTCCCCTTGTTTCCCATTCATCCACAACATTTCTCGCATTATCCAAACGCCACCTAAAGCTAATTTGGTGGGTACTAGGAGTAATAGCTAATAAGCAACAGCCATATATACAGAGCAAGGCCAACACGCAGCAATAAACCTCCTACACATCTGGAAAAATAGGGTGCTTATAACATAATTAAAGTGAGAAAAGGTTCGCCTTTCTGACACAACGATCGACAGCTGTTTGCTTAACACAGGCCAAAACATGTGAAATTCTAAGCCCCAGATCACGAACGGGACTCACCTTCGACGAAGAAAGAGGCCGAGGGCCAGCCGCGTGTGGTGGAGAAGCAAAGCGCCTGCTCCTCCGTCATGGGCGCGTCGAGCTCCACGACTTCGACCGCACCGCCAACGGCCCCGGCGACCCCCTCGGTGCCCTCGGCGGTCGCGATACCACCCACGAGCTCGGCAACCCCGTCAGCGCCCCCGGCGGCCGCGATCCGGCCTACGAGCTCCGCGACCCCGTGCGGGCGCCGCAGCGGGGGCACCCAGAAGGACCCTCCCGGCACGAAGGGGAGCCAGTCGGGCGCGGCGCGGCGCACCATGACGCCGTGGATGGCCTCCTCCAGGCGCCGGATCCCGACCACCTCGAGCGACGGGGACGAGGGGGAGGAGCCGTGGGCCGAGGAGCTAGCGTCTTCCTCGGTGAGGTCGATCTCGATGATCTCGACCTTGGTGGAGAGGCCACGGAGGGAGGCGGATGCGGCGGTGGTGGAGGGGGAGGAAGCGGGGCGGGCTAGGGTCAGGGTTTGCGTGAGGAGGCGGGCCATCGGCGGCGGCGGCGGCGGACGGATGTGGTGGTGGAGATGGGGTGACCGGGCGAGATTGAGACGGAGGCGGAAGAGATGGGAGAGAACAGATGCCGCTGCTGCGGTGGTTCGTTCACGTAGTCGCCACGGACGATGTGGGGCCAAGATGTCAACGAGATGGTTTCTCACGTGGCCCTACATGTCACTGGGCAATATTAAATTAAAGATTGGTATAGTTGGCACACAAGGCTTTATTATATTCGTGAGAATCATGTACGTACGTTCCAATGGAAAAAATAGAGACCTGCTACAATTTAGGTGCATGAATTTTAATTTTTTTATGACGATTGCCATGTATATTTTTACTAAAATTCTAGATTTAGTTCATAGTAATTTATGTAGGCATAATTTGCGTTTTTTGGTTTCGAGAATAAAAACCAGTTACACAAAACTATAAATCCAACAAAATCTAATCCATGTTGATACAAAGACAACTAACAATTAACAATTATTTCTATTGTCCGACAAGGACAAAGATTTGATATGTTATGATAAAAAAGCAAAATACAAATCATAAAAGTAACAATGTACTTATACTAGTTGGTTGTACAAGAGTGTTATTTGATATTATCTTAAAATTCAGGCATCTAAAATATAGGAGAAGTGAAAAACAATAATACCATGATATCCGCCTCGTCTGTGGGGATGTCGTCGCACGCCCTCCGTACACGATGAGCGCGTTCGGCTGGCTGGCCGGCTGGGGCTGGGCTGGCTAGCGCTTTCACAGTGACACTGTTCATGTGAACAGTGCTTCCATACAGAATAATATTTTTTCCTCACACCAATCAGCTGGAACAGTATTTTGGCTTATTTTTCAGTCTTACCGAACAGGCCCGATAGTCATCTACATTGCCGCCGCTGCCGCTTGATATAGGTCCAGGACGTTGGGGCTTTGTATCGGACGAGAATACGTGGATATGGTCTTTATATAGGAACTAGGTAGGATGCCGACATCTAAGCTCTGAGTGGAAAAATGATTCGTATCGGACACGGACGCATAAGGATCGAGTATCACTGGGTAGATGATAATGTTTCAGTCTTTTAGGTGTAGATAGAGATTATAGGAACTAAGATTATATTCACGGGTTGCAACGTGAACAAAAAATATAATCATAGAAATTAAAGTTTGAACTCATTTATATTACTAGCAAACGTGTCCATGCGCAGCAACGGAACCCAATACGTATAGAATCAGACTTCGTACCATCACTACAGGTGAGTTGTTATAAGTATAGTTCATGAGTCTAGATCATATACGAGATACTAAGAGCGGACCCACTATGTCTTGAAATGGTACTCCGTATCGATCATCGCTAAACACGAGTTGTTCTAACTTGTATGAGCATGAGTCATAAGTTTGAATCATATACGAGACATGAAGAACATAGTGGAGTTTTTTGAGAAGTAAAAGACGAGATGGAAGAAACTCTCCAGTGTCTTTGTAGTGAAGAGGAGGTGGCCAAATAATATACATAGAATTTTGGTTCTTTAATTTAGGTCTAGATTACCAAAAAATAATATTTACTGTGTGATTTTTGCACACTAAATTTTAAGTCAATTTTCATGAACAATTACGACATAGGCACATAATTCAGGTATCAAAGCAACCAAGTTTGTAACTTAAAACATTAAAAATGATCCAGATGGTTAGAGGAGTGAATATTCTATAAAAAATTAATCTACAAAAGCACAACACTAGAGCAAAGATGGTTAATACAACAAATGATCCTAATAGCCTCTGGTAGCTCTAGCTCAAGATCACCTAAAGCAAACCCCTAAACAATACTAGTGGCAGCTGATTTCTAGTCTAAGTCATAACACCACACAAGGCTACTTGGTTAAACAAGGTAAGAGCATGTCCAACAGCTTTTCTAAAATCTACTATCTAAATCGTCATTTGGGGAGTTATTTGAGTAAAAATCATTTTCTATATCTTTGTAATCTCCATCAGCTTTTCTATTTCTTGTGCACAGTCTATAGAGCCATCCTCGCTCTACATCTTTGGCAAGCGAGAAATCTAAAATAGTGTATATCTATATTTAGATATCCAATTGAAGAGGCTATTGAAGGGTATTTTTTCAATAAAATCTCTATTCCTATAAATTAAGAAAGATATAAAGAGTCTATTTGAGATGCTCTAACTAGAGAGATACTAACAAGACCAACTAAACAACTAGTTACTACTACAGCTACACTACTCTAGCTAGTAGCATTTGCAACTAAAGATAGGACCGCAAAGAGTAACCATGTCAAAATAAAAAATAGCATTAACATTTATAAATTAAAATAGTATACAAATGTGATAAACGAGATATATTACATTGTCTATGGAGTTAGCACGTATTTACAGACGATGCTCTTTGTATATATGCAACTCACATTAGAGATATTTTTCCCTTCTTCATATCCTTTTACTACAACTGGAATAGTTAAGATCCTACTGTTTAATATCACTACTACAAAAAAGATGTTGCGAGACAGGGGCCAACCATTAAGGAAGGCGGACACAATAGGGTGCGGCTCTAGATCGTGATACATACAATTAGCCATGCTAAAAAACATCAGTGTTGATCTGATGCCCAAATAACAGCCTGTTCGCTTATGCTGAAATTCGGCTTATGCTGATGCTTATGCTGAAATGTTATAAGAGAAAAACACTGTAACATAGCTGAAAAGTAGTGCTAAATAAGCTCCAGCGAATAGGGCCATTCACAAGTGAGTGTGTGCTTGCTGGCGGTGGGTACGATATAAAATTGTATAGTCAAAACCGTCAACATTGTCATGTAAACACAAGGAACTTAGTGAATCATGGTGCATTTTGTGTTTAATTAACAAGTTCAACATGTTTATGGACATCCTGGCATATATGACCCTTGGCATACATGAATCATGACTCATAGATAAAGTTGTACAAGGTTGGCAAAGTTCTTTTAAAACTAAAGTATCAGGCAAGCTAATAGACATGAGCAGCATGGATCATTTTTGAGAAAGTTAGGTTCTGGATAGTTTGGAATGATCTAACTGGTAATGATTTCATCTATTCACATGAGATGGTTTTGGGCTCACACTATTAGTAACTATAGTTTTAATAATAAAATATGACCAACTAAAAATACTAATTGCAGTATCCTATGTCAAGGCTTTAAGCCTTTGCATATAACCTTTGGTTCTATTTGCTAAAGCTTAATTTTGTACTTATGTTTATTATATTTAAATGATATTCAATAAAATCCCGGATCGATACCGGATGCTGAAGCTTTTGAACAGTTCCCTCTTTTAGGAGTTCTAGACAGAGAGCTTTCCCAGCCCGTGTCCCTATGGCGTGGAAAAAAAATGTTTGTGCGCTACTCTATGCTTTTTGAGAAAGATGCGGACTTAATGTAATGGATGGTTTAATCTTTATGTATTAATGTGTGTTATCTGTTATATGGTATTTATTCAATTTATGAGTATATTTGTGTGATGATCTTTCCGGATACGTAAATATTTAGTACTTGGTATTACTTTTAAATTAGGTGAGACATAGATGAAGAAGCATTTTGCACCAAAATTATAGAGGTCGACGCAATCTAAAATTTTGTAGTTGATAAGTTTCTATTTGAAACTGTTTTCTCCCAAAAAAACATTTTTATTTCTTAGATTTTGAAATTTAAAATTTAGAATTTTCAAACGACTACATAAATTGACATGATCTATACCAAAGTTGTCGCTATCAATGCGATCTACATCTTTGTATTCCAAAGTTTATGACTTGAAATCGTTTAGAGTCCCAAATATGTATTTTAAGTTCTCAGATTTGGAAATCCACTTTTAAAATTTTAAATGACCTCGGATGTAGGCATGGCCATACCAAAGTTTTACTGGTCGAATTGATCTACATCTTTTTAGTTGACAAGTTTTTTATTTGAGATAGCTTAGAGTATCAAAATCTTAGATGAAGACACCGCTATACTAAAGTTGTAGTGCTAGACAAATCTGAATTTTGTAGTTGAAACCTTTTTTTAATGAGATCATTTAGGATCTAAAATATTCAATACAAGATTATTAAATATTAATTAATACAATATGGTAACATCTTGTATTGACTCACTTGTGTAGTATAGTGGTAGGGAGGGATTGAGTGAGACAAGAGGTTATTGGTTTGAATCCTAGAAAGTGCATGTGCGGATCTGAGTAGTGCCTAGCTAGGGGTGCTTGCCCAGGATTTAAAAAAAAGTGTTTTTCTATTTTTGATCATTTTTTTTAGTTTTCTGTAAATTATTATTAGAGGTAGAATGTTAATGATTTATAGAGGTGGCCTAACCATCCATCTTGGTAAATGACTCATCAATAGAGACTATTTGATACAGACAATGAGCACGTCCGTCTCTGAAAATAAAACACGACTGCCTATAAAAATACCTTTGGTAAATCTCAAACTCACAAATAGTTACTTGTGCGAGCGCCCCTTCCTTGGCATGGTTCCTCCACCTCCCCTAGGGTCGAATTTAGGGGGGGGGGTGCAGGGTGGGCTCCAACCCCTACCATCATGAACACAACGGAGCCCCCTAAGCCCCTTGTATAAATCTTGGACATAGGTATGGTGAAGTAGAAGAAGAAGAAAAGAGAGAGGGAGAAGAAGAAAATGAAAAAGAGGAAGAAGAAGAGAAGAGATGAGGGTGAGCCTATGATTGCCACTTGTCGGTGTTTTGTAAATCGGACTAATAAATTTATACGAATGATGCGCTGCTCTAGAAAGACGATGGTGGCATCCAAAAGGCACGAGGATTTATATTGGTTCAGGCCAGAGCCCTACGTCCAGTCTCAGGGATGATCAAGTGCGTGTTCCTCGCTTGAATGCTCTGAAGTTCTTACAATGGAGGGTGTAAGAATGGTGGATGAGGTAGGAGAGCTAGAGCTAGGAGAAGGGCTGCCTGAAGGAAAGCTTCAAGAGCTTGGAGAGAATGGAGATGTGGTGAGAA